GATAGGGAATAAGTGATACGAGAAGGAACACAAGTTACGTCACGAAGCCGATACAGTAGCGAGAGTCAGCAATTAACCCTTCGAGCTTCACGTTACCAATACTTTTCCCCAAACTTCCAAAATCGAGATTACTCCCACTACACCAATTGCCTGATTTCAAATACATCCGTGCCTTGATAAACGAGGTCGATGACGAGGCCACGATAACGTAACGATTTCAATCATCGTTCCCAACCAGTTCCCAACAACGTGTTGTTGGAGGATAGGAAGCGGAAGGAGTCACGGGCTATTAATTACGCATTGTCTCCCTGCAACGATACCGTAAACCGATCTACTTTCGCCGGCGAGGAGAGGCTGTTGATTACGATCTCGCGGCGAGGCGAGTTCGATAAACACTTTATTTCGGGTCGTGTCGAAAACGTTGCGGTGGTGTGCCGCATGCCGCGCACCGCCTAAAAATACACGACTCCGTGGACCAGCCCTATCCCCCTCCGCGCGTACTCGCATCGGAACTGCAATCAAAAATAACTTTCCGAAACACCTGGCACCCCGGCCTTCTATTCCGCTCACCTCCTATTCTCCCTCCTCTTTCTTCCTTCCACCTCTTCCTTCCAACATTCTTCACCGCACCTGTCTTGACCGAACTCCTCTTCTTCTCTCACCCCCTCGGCCGTTTGGCGAGGAGGAGGAGGAGGAGGAGGAGGAGGTCTTTACACCAGGAACTGAATAATCGTAGAAGATTAGATTCGTTGTTTTCTTTTTTTTTTTCTTTTTTTTAAATAGATGGAGGAGGAAGATCGTTTTTAAAATTTTAATTCGCGTTCGTGTTCGAGGAAGAGAGGAATGTTTCGAAATGGGCGCGAGGAAGGGTGGCGCACATTCTTTCGAGAGAAATCATGCTGTAATAACGTAATGATGACGTAAATGTGGATGACAAATATCGAGTGAATCATTCCGTGGTTATATTAATTCCGAAGAAATTGTCCGGAAGAGTAGAAGAATGGAAGAAAGGGGAAAAATTTTAATCCAGGGACGCGTGTGTTGCGACACACGCAATATTCCAAGCACGATTCATCACGGATCTAATCTTAATCCTCGATCATTTGCAGCTGTTTTGTGGATTATTACGTGTTTTTGTTATTTACGTTGATTTATTCCACGGTAATTTCCCATCGTAAAATGAGTTTCCTTAAATTAATATTATCACGATATTTCTATGAAATATCATCGAATCCATCGGTGATCCATTCACGCGTTTGTAACGCAGTTGCACAAATTTTGTAAACAATTATTTTCCATACGATGACGAAACTTTTTCGTATTAGTTATCCGATGTTAGAATTCCTCGGATAGCTTACCACTATTAACCACGATCCAATGATTCGTCCGTCATAATTAGAATTACACAAGTTTTAACGAATGGATGTTCATTTTATTATCGTACATTTTTCTCTTCTCGTGAGAGGAGAAACGGCACAACTTTTTCAATCGGTAATCAAAGGTTTATTACATCCGATTTCTCGGATAATATTATAAGCAAGGCACACGGATCAAGGGAGTACCATTAAAGGATCCCACGAATATGACGCGTTGGAAGAAACGCGTCTGATCTCGTATGTAACGCACGAACGTGTTACATCACGCCATCGCGTCTGGTTATTTCGATCGGGCGAAATCGGATTTGTCACGCTGCTGATGCGTCAAGTGTGCCTTTTTTTTTCCTCGTCGAATCGAACACGTAAGAATCGCGTTACCTTCGCGTGCCTCTGATAAGATTACGATGATTTTGGTCGTTCACGTTACATCGGCTTCCTGTTCGAGATCGAGAAAATTATCGACGATTCGATTCGTGGACAGAAATGGCACGCATCTTTATCGAGATATCGAGATTTTGATGTTAATGGAACAGGAGTTCAAGTTCGATACGTAGGTATAAATATGAGTTAAATTTTGAAATGTACAAGTTAATACATAAGTGATTCGTCGTTGGATTTTTTGTAAAAAAATTTAACAAATATTAGAATATTAAGATGTGTTTGCAAAATTAATCTTAAGCGAGAAATAAGATGAAATTTATTTGGAATCTATCGATGTCGAATCTCGAGATTTATGTGTCTCGTTGCGGATCGATGTTGCGTGATATTTTCGATATTTTTAAAGAGAAAAAAAAGAACTTGGCGTCGCCCAACGTGGGGCTCGAACCCACGACCCTGAGATTAAGAGTCTCATGCTCTACCGACTGAGCTAGCCGGGCCACGTTTGCCAACACGAGCACCCTTTCTCTTGGGAATCGTTCCTAAATTTTTCCCTGAAAAATTTCGATTACCTTCCATTTCGAAGGTTTTTATACGGGCGATTAAGTGGTTGAGAATTAGGACGCCGAAAAATCGGTCGGATCAAAGAAATCGTCGGGTCAATTATTCAACAAGCTTATTCGAGCTTGTTTAAACGAGCCTAATCCATATTTATTCTTCATATCTCTTTCGACGAACAATACCATTGTACAGTATCTTCACCTTTAGGAAGAGAGGTATTGAAAGAGAAAACGATTGATAACACGAGCTTATCACGAGCTCGGTTCTTTGACATATTATCATCCACACTCTTTTTCTGTATTGTAATAATAAGAACGAAAACAAGATGAAAGAGCCCATCAAACCACGATCAAAGGAGGCGCATCCAATAATGTGTTGGAGCAATGAATTTCCTTCAGAAACACAGAGAGGAGAGGAGATTCGGTGTGAGGCGAGCATTAACCGCCTATATTTGCGATAGGCCGATGCTTGGCAAGGATCCAAGGGATGGTTGCTAGCACGTTGAGATTCTTAGAAACAGGCTGCTCCCCCTTCTTCCTCTCTGTGTCTTGCTCTCTCGCCGCGAGTACACTCGCAGGTCGATGTACGATCATCGGGTTTTCTGGGTTAATCACCGTGCTTTCCGACGTTGGCGCATATGCACCATGTATTTACGAGCTTCTAATGGATCTTCGATACGATCCACGACGTATAGATAAGTCCGCGATGAGATGTCGTGTAAATAGGCGCTGTACGGTCACGTGAGTTGTACCACGATCGCTCCACGATCGATCACATTGTTTCCCGATTTTCGATCGTGTCATATATTTTATCCTTTGTTTTATTCAAAATACAATTAACGTATATCATTATTATTATTATTATTATTATTATTATTAAAATTGGAATGGATGGATCTGTAGAAAGATGCGTTGAATTTAAGAAGATATCAGATTCGATACGTGTGTTTGAAATGGTGGGGGGGAAAGTTGAATTAATCGGTTGTCGGAGCGAGTTTACGATTGAAATTTTAGAAGAGGTAAAATTAATCTAGATTACGAAGTGTCTTACGGCGCGGAAAAAAAAAAAGAAATAGAAATGTCGAAAAATAGATAAATGATTGCAAGTGTTATAAAACGAGTCTTGCACGAAGTGTTCCGCTTTCTCTTCTTTCTTATACCTATTTATGACCGACAAGTTCAAATTATATAAAGTTAGATAAATATAAAGGTATTGGCAGTGGTGTTGGTTTCGACAAGTGTTGGTTGAGTCAAGTTTTTCTTTTTCTTTTTCTTTTTTTTTTTTTCTTTTCTTGTGTCGAATTGGTAAACGCATTATAATAAAATAGATCGATGAAATTTAATACATTTAGACTTGAATAATTTTAAAAAAAATGTAAATGATGTAATAAATAAAACAGTAATACAAATACTTTTTATAATCATACGATATATTTTACAATATAATATATACAAGGTATTAATATTTGAATATTCACTTCGAAACAAATGCAAAAGTCGATACGTAAAAATAAATTTTAAGGCTTATTTATTACGTTAAAATTTTCTAAATTCGCAGAATGCAAATTCTTTTTACATCTCGCTTCATCAAACTTCAATCAAACTTATTAAACTCGATAAATAAGCCTCGATATCGATATTTTTATACACCAACTTTTCTTTTTGTTTGTTTTTGCCTCTCGAAAAATCGAAAAATCACAAATTTTTATTTTTTCTCTTTTTTCTTTCTTTCTATTATACAAAACTATCAGTCCCAAAAACTACACAAATCCCATTTCACAAAAATTCCCTCGAGAACGTTAAAAATCGATCGTTAAAAAAGTCGTTGATCGATCATCACGAACGAGTTCAGATCCACGTATACGACGGAAAAAACAGTCTCTCCTTCGACGATTGATACGTCGTTTCCGCGAACCATTCCCTCCTTCCCGTGATTAATAGACTTCGTGCGTGTGTGTGTATAATAATAAATTAACGATCGCGCGGCCTCCATGTGTTGTTATTATTTTAAAAGAGAAGGATACGAGAACGACGTAATTAACGATATATTATAATCCCAATATATAAACACAACATTGTACGCGCCGCGCTCGCTCCATTGTTATTGTTGCTTAGTCGATCGCGACGATTCACGCGAGACGGGTCGAAATTGCGATTTAGAGAAATTTGTCGTAGAAATTATTTAATCAAATTATATTCAATATTAAAGAAGAATTATTCCATTGATCGAGAAAAATTTTAGAGTCGAGCCTTGCTTCTTTTTTTAACGAATGACGTGATACAGATTGGAAAAAGATCGCGTAATTGTCGCGCATTTGTTATTATGCTCGTCATTTTTACAAGCATGGAGCATATTGTTATAATGATAATTGCAATATTGTGTTTGGTAAGTTTGATAAAGCGTTAATTACACAATATCATACAACGTATTTTAATTTTTAAAGGATAATTTATAGGGAATATATGGGAGAAATTTGGTCGGGAATGGATGTGTGTAGAAAGAAAAATGTATATATATATAAAATTAACAAAAGTTTCGCATTATTTTACATTATATCGCAGAAGTTTTTATACGTAACTCTTAAATTTTTTTATAACAGAGAGATTGTATAACCGGCATTTAACGTTTACGAAAAAAAAAAAGGTGATTTACATCGAATGCTAATCACACGAAGCGGATAAATAGAAGAATTAATCAAGTTAATATTTTTCTTGCGAGTGCAAAAAGAAGAAGCAAATGTTTTTTTTTTATACAGAGAAAGTAATAAGAAACTGTTAATGTTTATATCGAAAATATGGTAAATTCCATTTGTACGAACCTGTTCAAGATAAGCAAATTTATATGGCCAAGTTGTTTATGCAATAACGGTTTTAATTATCCCCACTGGCTATGATTTTTCATTCAATTAATAAGAGTTCATTTGCACGTGAATACGTAATAACATTTTATATTTTATACGAATTTGGGGAGGGAAAAAAGTATCTTGCATACGTGATATTATAATTATTTGTATAATAAAATGAAAAATTCATTTATTTTGCAGCAGTGACACAGTTTAATAAATTAATACCTCGAATTAAATACAGATGATTCCTCCCCTCGATTTTTTCGAATTAATTAATAATTCCCCGACCGTTCGTAAATTGGGAATTTGCCTTGAATAGAATTCTGTAAACGAGAATTCGAATACGAAACGAATGTTAAATTATAAAATTATTGGCCAAGGATTTACAGTATTTAAAAAAATGGCGTAAGAAAAATTTCATTGCGCGATTTCCTGTGCACGCTTTTAATTGGCCTCGTATAATTTGAATCAAAAGAATTCCAAAAAATTTCTAAAGTGAGACGTACGGCTAGTCATAAAATTTTTCGCCCCTTGTTACGGGTTCTCGGGATTAACAGGCCATTAAAAATCAACAAGATTGTTGTTTTTAATGAAACTTTGTATAGAGCATAAATTTGTTATAGCAATTTTTTTTCTTTTTAACGAATACCAATTTTGAATGCTTTTTTTTTTTTTTTTTAATACAACTTTGCATTATAATACGATAGATGGAATAAAATTTTAAATTATCAAATATCCAGGCGAAATTAAATTCGATCCGACACAAATTTTCAAATTTTCGAATTATTAATTTTTTTTTACGGTGTATACAATAAGACTTTTTTAAAACTCCATCCACGTTGCATATCGTTGTTTAATATCGTCACGTTTCATCCCGAACAATTGTCGCCCAATTTTTCATTTTTCAAAATAAATATTTCTTAATTCACCCTTTGCGCAAACTCATTCTCGAAACTCTTAGGAAGCCATGTTCCTGAGAGAAGTGGTCACCGAACAAAGATGGTCCGCCTAACTTCTAATATTGAGAGCTTGACACATCGGGAAGTCAGTGGCTCGAAGCCAAGAGAGAGAGAGAGAGAGAGAGAGACCTCCTCGTTCGCTGGACGACGACCCTGAATGTTCACCTAACGTTCCATCCACAATGATTCGATCCCCTCGTGATCGATCTCGATCACGAATCGCGGATCTGGAAAATCGGATCGAAGTAATCCGTGCCACGGTGTCGCGTGAACCGTGACGCGTTTCCCGGATGATCGGCCCCGTGGACTTTGTCACAAAGCTCTGGCCAATGGCGAAAGTCGTTTTTGCAAAGTGATCGAGTTCGTCGAGATGAAGCTTGGTAAAAACGACGAAAAGAGGTTAAAGGAAAAAAAAAAAGAAGAAGAAGAAAGAAAAGGCGTTGGTTTCGAACTAACCGACTGGCTCTGACCGAACAAAGTCAATTACAGGGAACAACATTGCAATGAGTCGAGGCGTACCGGATGCACTACTCTCTCTCTCTCTTTCTTTCTCTCTTCCCCTGTTGTTTTGCTTTTATTAGCAAACGACGCGGTAACCAGTTCTAATATTGATCGAAGTAACTCGAATCTCAAGGGAGAAGGTAAAAATCTTCGAAATTATAGAGGTATACAATACGTTCGTGAAAGTATTTGAACAGTTTTTCTTTTTTTCTATTTTTATAACGAAACTTTGGAATGTAATGTGAACGGTCGATGAAAATCAAAATTAAAAAATTCGAAAACGCGTATTCGTTTTTAACATTTGGGGACAGAGGAAAATTATAAAATTAAAAAGAAAAAAATTGGATTATATTTTCGAGGATTTAAGTTTTTAATTCAAATACTTCTACGGAAGTATAATAGGAATATAATTATAATCGTTAGAACAAGACGGCATCAACGTATCGCGTATTTCTCCCCAGTTTACCCTATTTGCGTAGTTTTGCTATCGAGATATTTTTCGTATATTTATCAGCGTGAGTTATTCGACGAATTATACGCATTGGAATTTCTTTTACCAAGCGAAAAAGACGTAAACGTTGGATAGCGGAGGGCAGCGATAATTAGCCGAGGAACGAGTGAAAAGATATTTTCACGAGAGACCAATTTGCTAGGAATCGTGAGGTTATAAAAGGCGATTAAGAGAATCGCGAAACAGCGATGGTGCAGAGGGCAGAGATATTACGGAAAAATTGGATTTGTGGATTCGTGGAAAAATGTCTTGGAAGTTAAAACCGTAGATAATTAATTAGTGGACGATAATCCCGATTCTCGTTAGCGAAACAACACGGGCTGTGCTTCTCGTGTCAAGGCCTCGTGTCTCATTTTTCTCGATTTCATTTCGTAGCTTCGTCCTGGAATGCTAATAATGTATTATAATTAGAATACTTTTAATCTTGAAGTGAAAAGATTAATTAAATCTTGGAAGTGGAACCAGATTTTTTTTCCCTTAATCGAATCAATTTGTTGCGACGTATAAACAAAAATGGAAATAATATTGATCACGAAGAAAATAAAAAAAAAAAGAGCGAAAGCATTGTCGAAAGCTGTTAAATTTGAAGGGGATTCTTTTGATGACATTTTGCCGTAACATTTGATTGTAAAAATATTCGGCCATCGTGGATATTCGGTATATTTTATAAGAAATTGGATATAATGGAAAAAAGTAGCAACCATATTTGTTATTTGGATATTATAAAAGAGTAAAAAAAATTCCATCAAAATTCATGAGGAGATAGCATATCGATGTATTCACCGAAAATTCTAACGTAATTTACGAGAAAACATGGGAGGAAGAAAGGGACGATCGATTATTTAATCGAAAGCTTTTCTATTCGATAAAACTAATAATTTTTTCCGATATAATATATGATCTTCCTTGAAGGATATTACAGCAATAAATTTTGTTGTTTGATAAAATTCAATATTAATTTTCATATTCAAAACTTTATTTTTGAACAAAAAAAAAAAATTGATACAATATTGGAAGAATCCGTAGCCGATTAATTCTCGAAAAGAATTTGCTGTTTGTTAAAAAAACATATTCGCAGCTGTCTCGATCCTCGGCTCAATTCCTCGTTATCAATATGCGAAGGAGAAGATAAAATTCAACGAGGCGTGTTTAATATCTTGCCACGATTAAGCCGTAATTAGCACGCCTCTAGCTTCAACTGGATTAATAGTTCATCATCGATGATTACGTGGGTTAAAAAATCGTGAACCTCGGGCCCTCGATTGCCGACATCACAATTTATTTCTCGACTTTACTTCTTTTTCTTTTTGTTATATATTCATAGCGGTTCGTGCAAGTCGAAGGTTATAGCATCGATCAATGTATCGTGATAAACTAGGATACTATAAATACTGATTCACGTTTAACGTTGATTCACTACTTAATTATAATTTTTAATTTTACCGAGAGGAACGATCAATGCATACGTTATTTCGCTCAAAAGAATATT